CGCTCCTATTGACATAAATGGAACTGGCTGATATATTTATAGTATGTATTGCATGCATGATCATGTTATATCATATAAATGTAAATATGTCTCTGTACTGTACTGTAATGTAACTTCTATATGGATGATAGAAATGTTAAGAGCTTGTTCGGATTTTATTATTAGTTGCTTATAATTTAGCCTTCCTTAGGTGAAAAAAATTAAATCAATTCTAAATGGTCAAACTTTATTTTTTAACCACATATTTTAATTGACTCCCAAGTCCTATCTATTTATTCATCATTCATTTTTATCTATTTATAAATTAAACCCTTCATAAATGGTACTTTGAAATTAAAATATGGCAAGAATAAAAAGAATAGGTGACTCGAATATAAATAAAAACTACAGTAAACTTTAATATATGACTACAGTTGGTTTGTAGCCAACCGCTGCTCGGCCGGACAACGAAAAGCTCACCCAAATGTGAGCCAAACGTTGGAAATGGTGAATCAAATGGTAGAGGCATCGACTGGGGTAGGCAATCCACAGCCACATTTGAAACGTAGAGGTACAAGGAGATTCACGGATAAGAAAAATGTAGAGCGCTAATGCCATTCAAATAATGATCTTTTGAGGTCTTGAGTCATTAGTTATAGATATGGAAAGATTTTTCATAATAGTATTATTTTTTCTGGTGTTATTTATAAGAGGAGGAAATTTATTTAATTTTGAATTTATTCTTGGTCCACAATACCTACATTATTATTATTATTTTTAATTTTATATATTATTACGAACATTTACTCCATACTTAAAAAAATGTTACATTCAAAAAGAATGATTCCAAGTTAGACAAAATATGAACTTGTCATACAAAGCCTCAACGGGTTTCAATCGAAGTTATTTATAAGTATTATAAGTATCTATGCATACGTTCTTGAGTCCTTGACATACGTTAGTAACACTCGAATAGAGTCGAGCAATAACTTATTTGGAAAGAAGAATGAACTTAAAGCTTATTTCTTACAGTAATTATAGGTTTATTATAAAAAAAAGGTAAAATTTTATACTTAAATAAAACACAAGTAACATTTTAAAATTAAACACGGATTAAACAAAAGTATAGGTGCTACTTTTATAACAGGCTACAAAAACTACTAAACATATTTGCTTCTGGTGCTCCAATTAGTGTTACTTATGTCAATTCCCAATCGCGTTAGTTAAATTGGGCCTAGTATGGGTTGGGCTAAAATAAGAGGATACAAAAGGGACAAACGTAATTAATGAAAATCTGTGGGGGCATATTAGCCAATCAAGAATCCCAAAGCTGAGAACAGGCTAAATCTCATCCATTCGAATGATGGGTTTATCAACAGTCTGATTCTTGAATATACTGTCACCTTGAAACACCCAATTTTCTCTTCTAATTTTCCTTCACATTTTCAATCTGCAAAGAACTTGAAGAAACGCACACAAATTATCATACTATGGGATACTGAAAAGACTGTTTTTTTCTTTTTATTTGTTCTTTTTTTTTTTCCTAATGCAAGAACTGAAGAACTCCCAGAATATATGTATACTTGCATAATGGAGACAGGAAGGAGCTTAATTTCTTCACCTTCACAATTTCCTCCAAGGACCCATATCAGAAATTGTGCATTCTCTTCTTCTTCTTCAGGTATATTAATTGAATTCCCACTGTTCTTGATTGAGTTTGTGGGTATCGAGTAGAAGAATGATAATAGGATTTGGTATATTTAATTTGTTTCAAATTGTTTTGCTTATCTTTTATATGCTTCTGGTGTATATATTTGTGTAAAATGATGTTGAGTTACTTTATAAAGAACTGCCTCAATTTGAATATATAGTGTCAAAATATGTCTACGGACAGTCTTGAAAAATAACTCTGGCAGCTAACAATTATGCTCTTTGTACAATCACACTTCGACAACAATGGTTGACAATGTTGTTGATGTCAAAATTCGGACCATTAATTTAAGAAATAGTTTTTGAAATGGATGAATGCGATGATACCAAGCGTGAGTTGTCCACCAATATTGTCAAACTAGATGATACATGTAGCATGATTCGGCTGCTAATAAGCTGCACAATGTGCAGTGAACTCTCACTAGGCATTCCTACTTGCACGACCATAAAATGTGCATAAAGAGACAATTCGGGTACCTGAAAAGCGTTTAGGATGTTCTATTGATAGTTATTGGAGTTCTTGTGTGATAGAGTCCCAGTTGTGTTGGTTCTGAATAAGATAAGGAACTTGTTTTATATTTATTGTCTTGTATCAATTATGGTGGTGAATTGTGATATAATTGCTAAACTTTGTTATACTGATGGATAAGATAGTAGATGTTTTCAAATTGATGAGATGGCTCGGAATACAAAAGTATTGAGACTGCATTATTTAAGTTAGGCATGTATGTATCAGAATTCTTCTCTTCTAGTCTCCATTCTTGGAAAAACTTACATGATAAAAAACCATAACACTTGGACACTTGCAGTCTACAAAATATGTTATGCTTTCATTTCAATGTTTATGCAGTTATCAAGCTATTGAAGCACATTCGAATTGCACATGGCTTTCATTTACAAACTGATACGACAACAATAATCCAATTTTTAATCTGATACTACATGAAAGATATGTGGCTTGCTAATGTAAGTATAAAGATATGTGTTATAAGATTTAGCAAAAAATTAAAATAGAAAAGTGGATGTAATATATGATAATTGTTTGTTGAAGTAAATAAATCTTGCACTTATTATCTTGGCATTGAACTTTTTGGTCTTGCAGAATATATAACTAAAAGTTACTTAAGCCATCTAGTGTGCATTTTGAGTTCATTCCTTATATTCTCTTCTCTCCTAACAGACGTGTAAAACTTAAGATTACTTTTTGTTACTGTTAAATGCTTCCATTGCTTATCTCTGAAAATCATGGGGCTATCATCTCACTACGAGTCAAGATTTCCAGTTGTTTTAACAATGAGTTTATGGAGTGTCGTACGTGTTTAGTATTAATCTTTGGACACATTGAGGTTATTTCCTACTAAATCTATGGATACAATTCTAGGAGTACACTAAACAAATGTGTCTAGCATGGCCACTTTGCCTTCTTAGGTGCATCTTCTATCGTCTCATCTTATGGTTACTATTATTTTCTTGACGCGTGGCTCTTTAAATGATGTCAAAATACTTGTTACTGAGAAAATAAATGAAACCTTTCTTTTTGTTCTTTAAAAAAACATCTAATTTCATCTTTCCTGGTAAATTTTGCAGTTTTGATGATTCATGAGCAAGTTGCTCCTGCAGTTACCTCACTCTCAACTAGTTCTTTAGGTCGACATTTTCCCTCGTCAATTTTAATTCAAGAACAGTATGATAAAAGCCAGCCATTGTTGCAACAGAAGGAGGACATCACTTTTCAGGTGAGACTCTCGTGATGACTGATGAGCACCTTCATTTGTGTAAAGCTGTGAAAATAGATCTTGATTGATCAAATTCTTTTACCCTTGGTACTGGCAATCAAATATTTTCTGGGTATTTCTGAAGTTATATACAATAATTAATACGGGTCATTTTTTCCATGTGTTTGAAATATTGTGCATTCTTTTCTGATCAAAGGCGACGCTGGATAGGAGGTTGATGGGACCTCCCACAGGAAATGAAGAGAATAACATTCTTGATTCCGACCAATATGTAAATGATTTCCAACTTCAGTTGCAACGCTGGCCTGCCTTATGGTACTTGTAAGATAAATGGAACTGTCAAACTTGTTTGCTGTGTTATTTGATACGGAACTCTTCAAACATATTTATGTTCAGCTCTCCCTATAGTTGAACCACCTTTTCTAACTTGCAACTCAATTGTCTTGATGGGTTCTTGCAGATTGCCAGCCTTACGGATGAAGGAAGCTCAGTCCTTGCCTATGATGGTGCAGTCCATTCTTAATAAAGAAGAGAAGGTTACAGGTGTAGAACCACAAAATGTTGTTTCCCTTGCAAGAAAAGCTTTGTCAGCATCCAGAGAGGCAGCCTTAATTGCCGAAAGCACCAAATTGTTGGAAGTTAATCTTGAGGACTCTCACAGTCCAAGGTGAGTATCTTTGCATCTGCAAGCTTAAAAATGAGTAGAATTTAGTTGAAAACTTCTTATATCCAAGCATGATTTTTTTTTTCCTCCTTACTTATAAGTAAAAAAGGTAAATTATTTTGAATCTAACTGTTACGTTAATGTCAAACTAATTTATTTCCAATTTTGATCAACATAAAAAAGAATTATTTTAAAACTTACTTGTTTACTTATAAGTAAACTTTTTAAGCTTAGCCAAATATACTCTCTCTCTATTTTCCACAACATCTTAACGAATTGATATTTAAAATAGTTCTTCATGTTGGCTGTGTAGAGGTTTGGTTAATAATCCCATACAAGATAAAAGAACTGTAAGGTCAACTCGTCTCCTGGAGAGGAAAACTAAAAGACGGAGGCTTCCAAAGTCAAACCTTGAGGCTCAGGAAAACAACCATCCAGGGAGGTCAGAAGTACAGAGAAAAATTGGTCAAGGATTTGATCCAAACGATCCCCTTCGATTGTTCTTGGGTGAACCAGAAACGAGAAAACTTTTAACTGCAAAAGAAGAGTCTGAATTAATAGTGAAAATACAGGTTTGTTACGTGCCATTTTTTCATTTTTTGTTTAAAACAGATTATAACTTGTTCCCATATCTTTCTTTGGATCAGGAATTAATGAGACTAGAAGAAGTGAAGAGTCGGTTACAAACCCAGTTTTCCCGTGAACCTACGCTGGCTGAATGGGCTGATGCTGTTGGGCTTAGCTGTCAAACCTTGAAGTCACATCTTCACTGTGGTAAAAGCAGCCGAGAGAAGTTGATTTATGCCAATTTCCGCATGGTGGTTCACATTGCTAAGCAGTACCAAGGGCGTGGTCTCAGCTTCCAGGATCTATTGCAGGTGAACTAAAGCTCATAATTTTATTACTTTCACCTTGTTTTGACCCTCCCACATGACTGAGTGTAGGCCAAATTCTTCAATATCTAGAGAATTTTTTGGCTAAACCCAAAAAATGTGCAAGCACTTAATATAATTTTTAAGCATAGCCAAACATATGACTAAGCTTCAAAGTTACCTGGAGTAACTTTTTATGCAAAGAAAGTACAACTTTAGTGCTTGTCTAGCAGCTTTTAAATTATAATTTAAGCAGTGGTCCTAAGGAATTTGATAAAAAGTGGATAATAGTGGTGGATCCTACAAAATGTGTGGATAAAAAGTATGTTTGAACAAAAGTGATTATATAAAAATCTTTACCAAACATGCGCTTAGAACATAAACCTTTTTTAAAAGTAAAAGAGCATATTTTGTCTATGCTTAATTTGTTCTAAGTATACATATATTGACCAACAAGTAAATAAGTTTGTTTTAAAATAAATAAACTTCGTAATGATAAAGGATGGATATAAGTACTTATTGAGAGTAAGGTCATAGTTGCTTTAGAGTAAGTGATTTTTTAACTCAAAAGAAAGGAAAAAAAAATTCCAGACTTTTTTACCATTTAGATACAAAAACTTACTCCTTTTCAAGCTTGTAGGCAAACATACTCAAGTCTTTACTTAAAATTCAGAAAAAAAGTACTTTTACGTTTTTATTTTTATTTTATTTGAGGGAGTTGGGGTTTAGCCAAACATGCTCAAATTGTGTTTTTGTCCATGAAACAATTATACAAAACAAGGGCTCTTGGCCAACTTTTATGCCCTTATGATACAAGACAATTCATTTGTTGGTGGGCTTGATGTCTACTGCAGGAAGGAAGCATGGGTCTTATGAGGACTGTAGAGAAATTCAAACCCCAAGCAGGTTGCAGATTTGCTACTTATGCCTACTGGTGGATAAGGCAAGCAATTAGGAAAGCCATATTTCAACATTCCAGGACAATACGTTTGCCAGTAATAATGCCCTCTTAATAGTATTGAAAAGTTCCAACGCGCTTCTCAAACAATTTTCTAACTACATATGCACTTTTTGAAAATGTTCAATCACACAAATTGACTTTGCAGGAAAATGTGTATGGACTATTGTCCAAAGTGAAAGAAGCAAAAACAATATGCATTCAAAAAGGTAATCATCATCCAATGAAAGAGGAAATAGCAGCAACTGCTGGAATCACGGTCGAGAAACTTGATAGACTTCTATTTACGGCAAGAATGCCTCTTTCAATGCAACAGCCTATATGGATGGATCAAGATACTACGTTTCAGGTACACTTTCTTGTCAACTGGTGTTTCCATTTGGTAAAGCCTCCAAATCATAGTATCAGTCGAACAACGTTAAACAATGTTTCACTTTTTGTTGTGTGTGGATTAAGACCTTAATTCCAATCACAAGAGCATTAAGCAAAACGAAACTAGAAACACACACAAATAAGCGCACACATAGATTTATAGTGGTATATTCTTGGTATGAGAGCTGCATATACTTGCTGTAGCACATTTTTTACTCTATGAACAAGGAGAATTACAATAGTTATATCTCAGTCTGTACTTTTAACACGAAGCAGCCCGACTATTAGGCTGATATGCAGTTGAGCAAAAAAGTTTATGGTAAATTAAGCTCCATTCTATCCAACATTCTCAGGTATTTTAGTAGTATATATTGAGACATTCTTATTAATTACAGGAAATCACTTCGGACTCCTCAGTTGAGGTCCCTGATGTAAGTGTCGGAAAGCAGCTGATGAGACAACACGTCCGCCACCTCTTGAGTGTTCTCAGTCCTAAAGAGAGGAAAATAATTCGTCTGAGATTTGGTATTGAGAATGATCAACAGAAGTCATTATCTGAAATTGGTACCATTTTTGGGTTATCCAAGGAGAGAGTTCGACAACTGGAGAGTCGAGCCCTGTACAAGTTGAAGCAGTGTCTTGATAGCCAAGGACTCGAGGCATATACAGATATGATCATTTAAACTCGATTCCATTATTGCATGTTAAATGCAAATTGAACTATATGTATGATAGTGGTGTTGACTGCAACTGAATCGAATGTACGACTGTGTGGGCAACATCCATGCTCTTCGGTCTTGTTTTTCAAATAAGATCAATCTTCGGAGCGTCTATTTAGAGCTTGTATGACATGTAAATCCTTAATTTCATCGATCAATATGATCATGGTTTTGCTACTAAAGCTGGCATTTTATTTTTCTAGAAGTTGGATTTCTCAACCATCATTTTCCCTCGACTACATGTTTCATATAATGGAACATGAATACGAGTTTTTACAATGTTAACATACCAGCATATTACAAATTCAGATTCAAAGTTGAATATCATAGAACGTGTTACGGCGCTATTCTTCCCATTCCATATAACCCAAATTTCAACAACTTTGGGTGCATTCCCAGTGAGGGAGTGACATATGTTGGGGGTTGAAGACAACATGTGAATAAATGAAAGTCCATCATACGGACTTGTTTAAAATTTTAGATGAATTTGATTCCTTTCACATAATACCAAGATCACCACTCATTTACAGTAACTATTACAAGTCATGTATTTAAATCAACGTTCTAGAAAGCACAAAACGTGGTTATACGCAAAAGTCAAGCTTCAAACTTTGAGTCTAGGTGGTCTAGGTGTAAATTTTTTTCTTATTTTTAATATTATTTTAATTTTTTAATCATTTTAAAAATCATTTAATAATTAAAATAACACATACCAAATATTTAAAATTATAAAATATTAAGACCCTGTTTGGGAGGGATTTAAATTTTTCTACAGTAAATCAATTCTCATTTTCAACCATACATTTTTTAATAAAATAATATTTTCCATCACATCAATATTTTTTTCTTTTTCAACCACACATTTCCCATCATATCACATCATCACCTCAATATTTTTTTCTTCTTTTTCAACCACACATTTCCCATCATATCACTATTCAAAATCAATTCTTCCCCAAAAAATCTCTCCCAAACATGCTCTATATTTACTTAATAATTCCTGCAATTAGTCAATTATACAATTTTCGAAGAAAAAACTTGAAACTAAAATCAAATAAAAGGCTTTTGAAAAAATAAAAATAAAATTAATAAAGCGCACCTAGTCACACATTAAGGCTCAACTTGGCAATTGACCGCTTAATTTCGCACTTGCTATCAAAGTATGACATTTTGCCCGTACCTTGCGCGCTTTTTAGACACTAATTTAAATGAATGCACATAAAGCGGTGTCTCAACTCAAGGACAGTGTTTAAAGAAATAAATGTGTTCCTAGCTCTGACATGAGTCGGTTCACAGAGACTATTCTGCATCCAACCGTGTCTAGGTTTTTATGAGCAGACTAAGCTATGAATCCAATTGTTTATATAAGAAAATTGAAGTGAAAAATAATAAAACTACTACCAAGAACATAATCAAAATTTATTGTCTTAGGATGACAGTGTGGTGGAATAGAAATATATCGCCTTGGTTCCCCATTTATTTACTCTTTTTTTAAATATCATTTTTATTTAAGATTTAAACTTATAAACATATTTATTTACTCTTTTTTAAATGTCAGATTTTTCTTAAATTTGGTGTTGTTTGCTTGATATTTAAGTCTAAGTTAATTAGAATTTATTGACATATTTGATGTGTTGGCTTGTATAAAGGTGAAAACGATCGTTATATTCTATCACTTTTATTTTTTAATTTAATCCAATTCATGTACCAAATATACTCTAGCAAGCTAGATTCGGATAGTATTGAAAGACTACGAAGAGGTTAAATTTTCTTTAATGTACTTACTATATGGGATTGTCCATTCGTATATACCAAATATCAACTTGTTCGATATTCTTAAGTAGGTATGATTAAACCAACATTTCGATAAGAATGACGTTATTCCTATTTATAAACTATTTAAAAATTTGGAATCATTATTCTCTAATTTTGAATAAATATTAATCATCGTTATCTATACATTTCTTGAAATTCATTGTTATTTCTATTTATAAAAAAAGGATGAACCGTATTCTTAGCGGCCCCCACCTGCCCTGCCCTAATTATTTCTATTTATAAATTTGTCAAAAGAAGGATAAAACTATCAAACTCAAGGGTGTGCATTTTCTACTTATTTTATAGTTTTAGTATTGTTAAAAGTAGGCTAAATATATTCAAACCGCAATTTTAATAATTAGACTACATTTTAATTGTACGAAAGATTCATAACTTTTACACATTATAACATTTATGTCTCAAACATTTTTTCATCGCATTTTTATTCACAAATTAACAAAAACTGTTCCTAATTATGGTTCCTCTCCAAAAAAATTTTAAGACGAGAAGAAGGTTAACAATATTTTGAGACACGAAAATAATGATTAAGGACACAATTTTCTGATAAAAAATAAGAACGTGATGAAAAAATTAAGGATATAAATGTTATTATCAAAGATTAATGATATTTATTATAATTAAAATATGGTGTATAATCGCCCTTAAAAATATTCATAATAATTGATTCAAATACGAATGTTTAGGACTCGAAAAATGAGACCATAAAGAAACCCTAAAAGGACACGAATATTTCGGGTAGAACGTGATCCTTGTGGACTATCCCTAATTATTTCGTATACATTCTTGACCAGAATTTATGAATTTTTATTTTCCCGAAAAACTGAAAAAAGGTCACATCACACTTAGTGCACGTGCATTTGAAATGACTTTGTGGGTCTGTTTGGGGCCACTTTAAAATTTACAAAAAAATAAGACTCCATTTCAATACAAATTTACAATGATTTATAAATTTGGTCAATTTTAAACATTAATTTCAATTATACATTTGTAATTATTATTCATTAATTTCCAACACAGATTAAAGCACCATAAATAGATAACGAGAAGATTTACATCTGAGACATTCGTGCTTGAAGATCATATTAAATTATTGTTGGAAAAAAAATGATTTTTCTCAAATATAGTGAAAAGTGGATTCACGTAATCGCTAACAAATATTCCTTCCATATAGAAAGTTATATAGGTGGTTAGATAGTACTGAATTTGACTAAATGGTAGAGTCGAAATCGACGCTCAAATGTAAAAAAAAAAAAAAAAAAAAATTGACCAAAAATTCAACCTTCTTACCAAACCAAGAC